ATATATTTTAAAGAGAGAGAAGAGTGTATATGTTTGTAAATAAGAAAACATGTATTTGATGCTCTTAGAAAGTCTTATTTTCTTTCATTAAAACTTGTACAGTATAGGGAACTCCATAGATTCTCTTCATTTAAAGAAAGTTAGAGGGAAAGGTACTAATCCAGAGTTCCTTGGGAAAAGGTGTCACTTATAAATTATTTTATGTTTATTTTTTTTAATCAAAAGCTGAAATATTTTCTATTCAGAAAATATATTTGGATCTAAATATCTTCTATAATTTTAACACCAAAATATCAATTTAAATATTTTAAAAATGGTTGCCCCCTAAATAGCTATGCACTACTAGTAAAATCAAACCATAAACAGACCAGTCTCTATGAAGTCTGAATTCCAGGCTCTAGCACACCTATTATAATTATCAGATGAAAATTAAATTCTTTCCAGAGAAATATAACATCATTCAGAACCTCTAATTTTTTTATATTAGGTAACTCATTAAATCAAAAACTGTAAAACATATCTAAATATAATACAGAATTATCTAAAACCAACAAAAAATAAAAAATAGACTCAATAAATGTTTTTAACTGCTGATTGGATAAACAACTGTTTTCTTCCTTGCCAAGTAAGAGAGCTGTTGTGAACTTTTCAGTGATGCCTTCCCCAGGATATTTGCAGATGTGGTTGGGAAAAGTCATTTCATCCCTGACCTTTGCATGTCAGGTGCTGGGGTGCCGGGGTGCCGCCTCGCCTGTGCCCCGGCTCTCCGATCCCGATGTGGCTCTCTCCCCCTCCGATCGCCATGGCGACCACCAGACCGCAGGTCTCTCTCCCTCCAATCGCCATGGCGACCACAGGATGCAGGCCAGGCGGCACCCCTGGCCCTGGGGGTGCTGCCTGGCCTGGCCCCGGCTCTCTCCCCCTCTGATCGCCATGCAATCACAGGGCCGCCTTTGCCCTGCCACCCAGCTCTTGCTTGCTGCCTAGGTTTCTGATCACTGTTCTTCCATCCTTCCCCTTTTATCTCCCATCATGCCTACGTATGCAAATAACTGCCATCTTTGTTGGCGGTTAACCGCCATCTTTGTTGGCAGTTAATTTGCATATCGCCCTAATTAGCCAGTGGGAAGCATAGTGGAGGTACGGTTAATTACCCTTTTTGTCTTTTATTAGATTAGATGTGCTTTATGTTTTTTATTATTTATTTACCACAAGTAAAAGTCAGGAATTATCTTTTAAATTTTTTTACTGTTTCACTTCATTACTGCTGTGTATGTGCTCTATGTGAGTGACATAGGTGCTTATGTAGGTGGGTTCGACTTACGGCGAAAATCGTGTTATGTTCCGCCGTAGGAACAGATCTCCGAGGTAACTCGAGGACCTACTGTATTTCCATGTGAACAGAACAGAGGTCTGTTAAAACTGGTTATCCTTATGGAAGTGAAAGGGTAGACCTTCATTTTTTTTTTTGTATAGTTGGGTCACTGAATTTTTTCATGTAAATATTACCATTTAAATACAAATAAACAACAAAAAACCCTGCATTTCCTAACAAATCAATCTAGCTAGGTAGGTAGCTGACAGACCAACTCTAAAGCTGTGCCTTACAATATATAATTCAGATTCTGCCTACACATTTAACCTCATTTCCCATGTTCACTGAATCTAGTAGTCTGACATACTTGTTCCCCAGTCATTTACACAATTCCCTTCTTTTAATCCTTTAACTCTCAGCTTAAGCATAACCTTCCTCACTGAATCTGTTGCTGACCTTCCATGGCTCCACTCTCCCTTATTTCACCTTGTTACTTCTTTCTTAACACTTAAAACATTCTGAAATCCTTTTGCTTCTTTACTTGTTTCTAATCTGACCCTACTAAAATGTAACTTCTCTGAAGGCAGGACCTCTCCTGTCTTCTTCATCATCCCCCTTATGATGCTTGACTTACAGTAGACGCTCAGAAAATATCTGCTGAATTAATGAACTGTAAAAGAAGAGAGTGTTATCTTATGATTGCAAATTTTATGCTTATAAAAGATTCAAGATGTGAAATCAGGTTACCTTCATTATTATTTCAGGAGGAATACAATGAGTTAAAAGCTCATAGAGTCTTCCACGAACTTCAAGGAGCCTACATAAAACATAGTAATATTTTGTGATAAAAATAAGAGGTAATTTTTCCAAGTACCTACTGTGCTGTTCAACTTTATGAATTAAACAAACAATCCAATACAAACATTTTCTTAAATAGCTTATCATACTTAGCATACACATACAGAAGCTTTTTCTAATTTCAGTTCATTTTTTTTAAAGAAAATTTACAGAACTCTTTTAAAGTTAGACAAAACTTATATTCAGTATTATATTAAGACTTCATGAACAGTGAAGGTTGAGTTTATTTCACACTATGGACTTTAGCATACTTTCATGACACATCAAGTAGTATGTTTATTTCCCCCTCCCCCCCCCAAATAAATGATACCTAGAACAGTTAGAAAATAATCATAAAAAGATTAAAGAATCACTGGTCAATTACACAAGTGAGCAAGGGATAGAAGGATGATATCTACAATAATAAAAGCATAATATGTTAATTAGACCAGACAGCTGAACAACCTTCTGGACGTCCTTTTGGACAATCTTCCTGACAAAGTTGCCGTGGGCAGGGGCCAAGGCAGAGGTGATTAGGGGCAATCAGGCAGGCAGAGTGGTTAGGGCCAATCAGGCAGGCAGAGTGGTTAGGGGCAATCA